TGATCCCTGAATGTTCACTTGTGGTATTATACAACTGCCTTGAAGGTACCAAATTCATCCATATTCTCTTCAGACTTACATCCCATCTAACATGTATGCAGCAAGGTAGAAAATATAAGTAAATCCGACATCATTTCTTTAAAAGCTCCATTAAGAGCAATTATTATGAAGGACGTAATAAAATGGATCATTCTCACTTGAAAAAATTTGTTAAATGTAAGGCAAAATGAATGAAAAGTAAAATTTTAACTAAAGGCTATCCAACAAAGCACTGCATGTCCCATTACTTTTATGTTTTTATCTAACATAAAATGCTTGTTCAAAGTGTCTGAGTACTTATGCAAGTTCATTTTCACAATTTTTTTTTTACCCCAAATTTTTTTTAATAACTTTTTTAAAAAAAGCAGGTTTTAAAAAAAGATGATTAATAGTATTTCTGAAAGGACAGTCATTTCACTAATATTTAGTGGCTGGTATTTGCAAATAAATCAAAAATAAAAAATGCGAGCCTCTGTTAGTAAAAATTTATTTATTCAGGACTCAATATATGCAGGAAATAGACGTACATATATAAATAACTAAATATAATTCAGCTGCGGAAGACAGAAGCAAGATAAAATTTAGCAGAACATATCTTCAGTCACCAATCTCATGATACATTGCCACTACTACTATATAGCAGATATTAGCTAAGCATTAAGCTATGCTAAAATGAGATGTTACTAGAAATCTGTAGTTTGGTTCAAAATACAGAAAATTGCATTACCAATAGTGAAGAAAGTGATAAAAACGTTACTGAGAATGAAAAAAATTTCAATTACCAATTTACTGGAAATTCTCGACACAGCAATTACATGATTTGAATGACAGTCCTTTGTAACTGAACAAGATATTATGTGAAAAAAACTTACACAACTTATTGAAAGAAATGTGGAATAAAAGAAACAAATATTAAAGATTTTATTGTAGATTTCGATTCCTTTAAAATCATAAATGCTTCATCATTTCATGAATGACAATTTCACATTTTTAATTGTCTATGTCATCTTACTAGATTTAAAACGGATTATCTAAAATCCAGAATCCCCAAAGTTCCAATGAGTCTGGATCTCTAACTATATTAAAATACTTTTTGGTTAATCTTTGGATTATGGTAACTTGGCGATTTTTTGGCGACCAACCCTGCTAGTGTTTGGACGCCATTTTGTTTTCACAAAGTAAAGGCTTTTTTTTTTTTAACTCGGCATTTTTACTTCCTTGTACGAAGTAAAAAAAAAACTATCGTAATCGCGAAAGTTTCAGGCAGCCTATTTCAATGAAAATATCCATTTTGACCGCTATCGAATGCAATTTAACAATATTTTTGCATGACATCTCTACGTAAGGACAGAATAAAATACTCTTTTCCTTCAAAAAATTATAAAACTGCTTTAAAATGAATTCTGAAGAGAATTTTTCGTGCCGTCTTAATGAACGTATGTGTGTACGTGCGTGTGTACGTACGTATCTCGCATAACTCAAAAACGAGTAGCCTCAGAACGTTGAAATTTTGTATATAGGACTGCTATAACATGTAGATGTGCACATCGTATTTTGGTTGCAATCGGCAGCACCAAACATATATAAATATATTTATATATATATCCAATCTGTTACCCGGATCAGTGATCGCAGTTTCTTTACTCTTATCCGGTTAAGGTTTTTATGCCTTTCGTAAATCTGGAAGCAATATTTGTACAATTATCAGCAATTTAAAAGCTGTTTAAGTGCGGTTAAGTTTTAAATAACATGGCGGACATATTTGTTTACATTTGAAACAGCAGAATAGTAGATTTGTTACCTATCTAGAGAGACTAAGCTTCGCAACAACAAAGATAACGCATTCATTTATTATTGCCAATTAAATCATGCTTAATTTTTTCACGGAAATAAGTGTTTGAGATTTACTTCGTAATTTTTAATACAGATATTTTGAGATTTTATGTATTTTTGCCTTCTCGCGAAGTGAGAACTGAATTAATTAAATGAGAAATACTCAATCGTCTGTGAAAAACTGTTCCTTTTTTGTTTTGTTTGCTTAATTTCTTTTATACATCATTCTAGCTTTATTATAGTATTTGAATAGAACATGTGGCAACGATTAGATAATTCTATTCTTTAAATGATATAAATTTTGTTTATGAGGTATAATATGAACAAAATATATACGTTAACTGTTATATAATTATTGGATTATATAACAGTTATATAATTATTATAAAAGTTAACTGTTATATAATTATTAATACTGTTAAGTGAATCTAGCGCCAGAGTGTCGCTATGGTAAGCGAATACTAGAGTGAATTTTAAAGAATGCATTTATTCTATTGTGGTTTATGCGCTGTCGGCGAAGTAGATTTAATTCAATCCAATAAGTTAAAATGAAATGCAAGAAAAAATGCGTATAATTTAATATTCCAATACAAGAAGTCATGTGGTGTACACATCAGATTTTTTCCAACAATCTGCTAGCCGAATTATGCTTATGCTAGAACTTCTATGGAACAAATGTGCTGAATCATGACGAAGATTACGTGCGAAATTGGGAGAAAGTGCAGAATCGCCCACTGCTTCACGCGTTTTTATAAATTGCACATACCCGGTATCCATGTAAACGTTGACCTATTTTCACTTAAAAAAACATCCCAGAATTGCACAAAAATGGCATTGCGCACACGCTTGGCTTTATCCATGTACACTGCTAAAGTCCTAGCTAGTAACCTTTATCGCCTTACCAAAATGTCGCCAAACTACCTGTTACCATATTCCAAAAATTAACCTACTTTTTATCAAAAAATGATTATCAGTTTTATCAGATTAACATTTTGAAATAGTTGATATATTTCAGATATTTAATTATTTTAAATTTATGAAAAATCTAAATGACATACTAGCTACTCAGAATAACGACAGAGTTCATAAAATTTATAAATTTTTGACATAGTTAGCTTCTGAAAAAGAAACTACAGTACAAAGTCCGTAATCCGGACTTGTCGGGACTTCAGCAATTCCGGATTAGGGTTTTTTCCGGATTATAGATCTTCAATTTAAATCTGGTAAGATGGCATGCAGAAATTATACAATTAAAAATATTAAACCGTAATTTATGAAATAAAGAGCAATTATGATCTAAAAGGTATCAAATTTTACAAAAAAAAAAAAAAAAAAAAGCTTAATATTTATTTGTTTACTTTATTAAACCATTTCTTTCAATGAAAGTTGTTCAAGTTGCTTCGTTTTTGTGCTAAACGTGCATGCGTAAACATTAAGCGTGCATGCACATCAAATGCATTACGTGCATAATGAGAAATTATAATCTAAAGGGTATCAAAATTTACAAAAAAATTTTTATATTTGTTTACTTTATTAAACATTTCCTTGAATGCAAGTTGTTTGCTTCGTTTTTTGTGCTAAATGTGCATGCGTAAACGCAATATGTGCATGAAGAGAAATTATGATCTAAAGGGTAACAAAATTTACAAAAAAAAAAAAAGCTTAATATTTATTTGTTTACTTTATTAAACATTTCTTTCAATGAAAGTTGTTTAAGTTGCTTCGTTTTTTGTGCTAAACACGCATACGTAAACCCATTACGTGCATGCCTAAAGCATACAAAAAAATGTTTGTGGCTTTGAGGTCCAGATTAGAGATCATTCCGGATAATGGACGTCCGGATTACGGACTTTGTACTGTATTATGTAGCATAAGAAAAATATTTGACACATAGCAGATATAATTTTCTATATATCACAGCTGATTCTTAAATACTAAAGCACAAGGACTAGTATTATACAAACAGTATTTTTCTCAGCCCCCCCCCAAAAAAAACATACATATAAATTCATTTGTATTAAAAAATATTGCATAAGTACAGTCCATTATAATCAGCATTGCACAATTAATAATACGAGTCAACATTTACAAAAAGAATCAAAATAAAACATTTCCAAACTTTCAAGTAAAATAAAATAAAAACAATGTACAAATGCACATCTTACGAAAAAACAATAGAAATAAGACTATTCTTAAAGTAAACAGAGTATTTACATAATAATTTTCATATAGTCTTTAAAACTTATAATACTAAATTAATACCCAATATTATACTAATAAATTAAATTAGGTACTCTTCTGTTTTGAGGGCCATAAAAAAATTGCAGCGAAAATGTATGCGCAAAAGCGTCAAATTTAGCAAACGCGCCCATTTAAACAGCGTGCCAAATCTAGCGTACGCGTTGGTTTCAGATTGCTTTAAGTTTATATAGTTCTATATTTCTTAAGACGCCATTGAAATACTAGTTTAATTTTTAAATTCTTTTTTGATTTTAAATCCATTTTTGATATCCTATGGATTTAACAATTTGGGAATTGCCCATGATGAAAAGTCGGCAGTAGAATTTTGGGTAAAGTGCAAAATCACTCACTGCTTGACGCGTTTTTAAGAATTGCACATACTTGGTATTCATGTGCACATCGACCTATTTTCACTTAAAAAAAATCCCAGAATTGCACACCCCCTTGATTTTATCTATGTACACATCGACCTATTTTCATTTAAAAAGTAAAATAAAATTGACAAAAATCCAATTGTTTTTACCCTTGTAAAAAGCGGCCAACAAAATAAGTGAGCGATTCTGCACTTCTGAATTCCGATTCTGAATATTTTCAAAGAAAAGGCAATCATTCATTATAGAAAATTACGTTTGAACACCAACGAGATTGAAATTATGCTTTAGCGATAAGTCGGTAGCGAAATAGCGATGCAGGCATCCATTCAGTTATGTTTAGCAATTTTTATATAAATTATAATAATGATCTGAAACAGTTATTTACTCTTATGCTTCCATTCAGTCATGTTTAGCCTTTTTCATATAAATTATAATAATAAAAAAGCATTATATGAAATTAACCTTTCATCTAAATTAAAACATCAATCTTAGATAGTTATTTACTATTATACTTCCTTTCTTGCCGCAATTATTTTTGGCAGCATTGGCATCAACAATAGTTTGGCGATTTTTTATAGGCCCTTGAAACCGAATAGTACCTTAAATTCTTGTATGTATAATTTTTAATATAATGACTCAGGGAACATTATCACATTTTTGGACATATTAGACAATTTTCTTCTATAAATCATCTTTATCTACATTACTAGACACATTTGCATAAATTATAAATACTTCAGACATCTTGCCACAACAGCATGTAGCACTGACACTATAAATCTGATTCAGATGAGTAAAATACCTAGGCATCAAAGGCACATTACATAGAAACATGTAAATAACAACAACTACTCTGTATAACAAAAACACACAAAATCCATGTAGGCTGATTTTTCTGGATTACTTAAATAAATATATACAAGTTAAGTATCACTTATTTACAGTTAAACTCATTTTAAATTTTACCTCAGAGAGAAAATCTGATGTCAAACCAAACGTCTTAGTTCATGAATTACCACAAAATTGTTTTTAATACTAGTTTATTCTTAAATCATGAGTTTGTAACATTCTAGAAAATGATAAAATATCTTATAGAAATGGTAACATTAAAATTATGTAATCTTTTTTAAAATATTCTTTTACAAAACATTTAATTGCAAGTAGAAGGCACAGATCTAAAAAGAGTATGATATGAGTTAAAGTCATTTATATTATATATTGTGTATTCTCATGCAGTTCTGTATTATGCTCAAAAGTAACCATACAAGGTTCAAAATTGTGCTATATTTTAATGTATTAAATTTATAGAATGTATGAAGGTATTAACAAATGGTATATATGAAACGACTATCAAAAAATAATTATCTTCATATGACTGGTTGCTACTCAAATGGTATATATGAAACGACTAATCAAAAAATAATAATTATCTTCATATGACTGGTTGCTACTCAAAGTTATTTCAGTATTAAGATCTAAACCAGAATTTAATTCACATTTTTTAACTCTACATATGCTACAACGGTTCAGTTTTATATCTTCCACTGTTACTTCAACTTCATATGTTTTACCTTGTTGTAAAACTTTAGGTTTGGATAAATCTATACAAAATATATCATTTCTTATTTCTTCTTTATATACCTGAGTTTCTGGCTCTTCAAGGAAACCAGAGAAACAGACATGAGCTTCTAGCTCATCTACTTCAGCTTTTGTATTTTTTAATTTCAAATGAATAGCATGAAGTGAAATTCTCCCTTCAACAACACGAATCCGAGCAGAACATTTAACATCATTACTAAAAGCTGAACCAATATGATTTTGGACATCCGACAATGGAAAATCATAAATCCTTTTTTGCTTAGAAAAGAGAAATGCAGATGTATTTAAAGTCTGATGGTTTTTCATTTCTTGAGTAACTCTTAAAGTTTGATCTTCAAAATTATATGAATATCTTATTTTGTTATTCCTGTGAAATTGATGAGTTCCTGATTCTATAGATTTATTTACATCTTTATCTTCCTTTTCATAAGTTCTATGCCTGTCTGGATATGTATTTAAAACATGGTGATTCAATTGTGGGCCAGCCCTAAAAGCCTGATCCCCAAATGTATTAAGAAGTGTTATTTTACCATTTTTGCGAATTGGCTGATGAATTCCTAACTGTGTAGATATATCTACAGTCCTCATTTTGTTTTCTTTGCGATCGGATTCCTGCCTGACTAACCGTATGGGTTTAGGTTTTCGTTTTTCAGCTATCAAACAAAATGTTTCAGGGACATGGACATTACCATTAGGTTCTAACAATTTTCTTGTCAAAACAGAACTTTCCATGCTTGTAAATATATTATGCTGTTCAACAAAATCAAAGAACTCTTCTGGAGTCAAACTAAGTAACCTTATATGCTTTAACAGAGGCTCTATACAATCTCTCAAACACATCTCATCACATGGAAGAGATCTACGTTTACATTCACTTCTGGCCCATTTTAGAACAGCATTAATCACATCCAGTTCACTGTTTACATCAAGACTCTCTTGTTTAACAATGTCTTCAATTACTATATGAGATGCATCCTTGAAATGTGGAGACTCCAAGACAACTTTACTTTCGCTACAAACAAAATTACGACAGGAGTCCAGTAATTCTTTTATGTTGTCTTGAAGTGAATACTCATATCCTATAAACAAATTATCAAGTGCAACATTTGCTTGAAAAAAACTAGCACATTTTTCTTTAAGTTCTCTTATTTCATATTTAGTTGCCAAAGTATATATTTCCAATGCTTCTTTCAAACTATTCACATGCAATTTGTCAGTATAAATGTACCTGTAAAAAATGCACAATAATTAGTATACAGATTAACAAGGAATATTTTTATAAACTTATATGTGAAATATTACATTTGAAGTTAAGGTATACTGATGAGAAAATAAAACACATGGGACATTAAAATCCCTGAATCTCATAAAATCGTAACATTCCAGATATGAAAGATCAAATCTTCATGCTTTTTTTTGGCATTCAAGTCCCAATCCAGAACTTCAATGTTTTAGTTGAGAGTGTCAGAATCAGTTTCATTGAAGTCCAACAGAAGTGTTTAGTTAACACACTAATGACAAGGCACACCAGCCGATATCCTAAATAAAATATTACTGATAGAAAAGTTAGATTATTTTCTACATGGCAAAGCATGCAAGAGCTATCTACCGAATGAGAGGATGCTTTCATGGAGAACTTACTAAGGGAAAATGGTTCACATTTAAAGTGACACATAGAAAAAAGGGGCCAAAGAAACTAACCATGTAACTAGTCCATTCACTTGGTTCCAATTTACGTCAAACTAACAGTTTTCAACAATCTTAACCAGTTCGAACATGCTTCAGCTTTTGTAAAAACATACACATTCCATATTGAAATCAATATCTCACTCAGTAGCTAAATCAGTTTAAAATAAAAATGAAAGAAAATCTGAGAGGATTAAAATGTTAACATCACACCAGAGGATCTGTTAATTTTTTTATGCTATTGCTGAGCATCCTTGGTTACCAATCTGTTCTTGGATGCACTCCTGCTAACATTTTCTTTTTATCTTTATTATTAAGCATCACTCCTGTAGTGATGCTCGCTTCAGTTCCATCAAGTTTCTAATTTAGTTAAAGTGGAATGGCGACACTTTTTCTTGTCACCATGAAAAACAAAAGTCGGTATTCTATCATGCGATTTAATATGCATGTAAAATGTAAACAAATATTATGAATAAGTATATACAGTACAAAGTCCGTAATCCAGACATCCATTATCGGGAATGATCTATAATCCGGACCTCAAAGCAACAAACTTTTTTTTGTATGCATGCTTTACGCATGCACGTTTAATGTATAACAGACAGTATAAGCTAGGCTAAAATTATCTTTACTGATTCTAAGGCACTTCAGTTAATGTTACTGAAGATGATAGCCACAAATTTGAAGTTTTTCGGACATCGTAAACTAAAGATGAAATTTTCCATTTATTGGATTTTGTAAAGAAATGTGGAGAAACAGTAATAAATGAAGATCGTATAACAGAAGTTTTTCCTTACGACGACAATACCCCAATCATCAATCTATGGACGACGAAATCTGTAGTATAGTTCTAGATCCAGAAAATACTGCATCCGATAGTGAAGAAAGTGACAGAGGGGTTACTGAAAATGAAAAAATTTCGATCGACAAGTTAGTCGGTATTCTTGACACAGCAATTACAGGACTTGAACAATGGAACTTTGTAACTGAACAAGAAATTATGTCCGTTTATAGAATAAAAGAGAAAGTATTAAACTTACATTGAAAGAAATGTTTAATAAAGTAAACAAATAAATATTAAGCTTTTTTTTTTTTTGTAAATTTAGATACCCTTTAGATCATAATTGCTCTTTATTACATAAATTACAGTTTCATATTTTTAATTGTATAATTTCTGCATGCCATCTTACCAGATGATCTAAAATCCGAAAAATAGGGGTTTTCCGGAATCGCCGAAGTCCTGACGAGTACGGATTTTGGACTTTGTACTGTATAACGCTGTAAGGAATAACATATTGCTTCTATTGGAGTCAGAGAAGTGTTATTTTCCTACTTTTGCATACGAAACACTGCACTGGTGTATCTCAGCATGATTAAATTCTACAATGGCTGACGATGAGGAAACCGAAATTAAAGCAACAACTGCATCTGTCGTCAAGCTAAGTGTTAAAGTTCCTCCTTTTTGGAAGCTAGATCCTAAAATACGGTTTATTCAACTAGAAGCACAATTTAGAAAAGCAAAAATAAATGCAGATCAAGCAAATATGACACAAATATCTGATATTTTGCTATGTCCGCCACAAGATAATAAATATCAGGGAATTAAAAATAGACTAATTTCATTATATGCCAATTCAGAGACTTAAAAAAAAAAAAAAAATTATTGAATTAAAACTGGGTGACAAAAAGCCATCTCAATTGCTGTGTGAAATGTGTAATTTGGCGAGCGATAAAGTAACAGATACTTTGCTAAAAAACATTGTGGCTAAAGTTTACCCGTTGATATGCATAGCATTATATCTGTTAGTGGTGAAGATTTGCCAAAAGAGGCTACAATGGCTGATAAAATTTGGGAATTAAACCCTGTTATTTCCCAAATAGTTGCTTCTTCATCCATAACGGTAAAAACGGAAGTGATTAAAAGTTTACAAAAACAGGTGAGGGAACCTAATTTTCAAATAACAGACTAGGGCAAAGGCACGTAGGCCATCGGATGAATGGCAGGGAAGGTTGTCGGACAATGACTATCCCCACACCCTGAAGGGTAAGGGGAGCAGAATTTCTCTGACCAATATTTGGGTCAGAACAGTTTTTTTTTTTTTTTTTTCAGACTCTGGAAATCTGGCCTATATTTCGGCCACCGTCTTCAAAGTGGACTATGTTGGTGTTTTGCTCAATGTTGGGAATGGCATCACTACGCCAGCGAATAAAAAGCCAGATAGAGACTGATGTCATGGGAAGCCAGAGGAAAACGAACAGTTCGGTTAGTAGTTAAGCACGATGTTTGCATGAGTGACTAGATAGAAGGTAGTAGATAAAATATTTTATATTCTTTAACTTGTCTTTATGGTAAATAATCTTTTGCTAAGTTAAAAAATTGAAAATTAATTCACGGGAAGATGATTACGAATCCTTCTGAGCTAGCCATTGTTCGAACGCAATGCCTTACGTAAATATCATTGTGGCGCAAGACGTGGGGGCGATAACAGCTAAAGTAAATGAAAATGGAGCTTACACAGCTGAAAACCGAAAAGAAAATGTCTAAGAACTTCCTTACACAGTGCAAACAAACTGATGCGGAATGAATCAGATCTTCCTGATTTGAAGGCTACTTTCGATTATGGAAAAAGCTTAGAGACAGTTAATCGACTGAAATTGCAAAAGGAAGTAGTACGCATATTCTACATCTAAAGAAGCAGAAAAGCATATGAAGAAGATTTTATTTTGTCTGAGCATTACAGAGTAAATTTTGAAATGTGTTCTCAAACGAAAAAGCTGTTCGAAAATCCTTTACCTACGAATTACCAGAGAAGTGCAAATTTAAACTGCCGAAGATGAACTAAAGAATTCATGGCGAGCAAAAGATTTGATGTTTTGGAGCAGTTTTCGAAGATCCAGAAGATCGATGATTCAAGATGAGATAATCCAGACCTATGCAACAGTTGTTCCTCGTCCAAGCCGCACGGGTAGTGGAGAACTTTCCGGCACGGGTAGAATACCGAAGGCAATCGCCCAGCTTAAGGAGGTTTGAAGAGAAGACTTACTGTAAGATATACGTCAGAGATCTTATAAGCAAGTATGGTAATGAAGCAGTGACGTGTAGACGGATCTTCCACTCTCTACGATGATAGAAACAAGATAGAGTTTTAGAAAGTCTTGGAAGACGAGAAGAGAAGTATGGTGATTTTTAAACGCCTTAGTGAATCCTGCCTGCCCGAAAGAAGTATTAATGTTGGGAGAGAAACAGAAATTAAAGAAGCACCCAGCCTGATGACGATGCCTGAAAATTTGAGAATTTCTGAACAGAAGTGAAAGAGAAGAGAGGTCGTGTTAGCCGCATGGGTTGGTTCGAATCAATTTTAAGAAAAAGGATACACTAAATAAAATTCAGATTCCGCACAGCAGCTGTGTAGTAAGTAATCAATTCTGAGAGCCCAGGTAGAAACAATTTTAACGTCTCTTTGTGAAAACGGCACCCAACTAAGAATGTTTTCTGCTAGAAATATGACTTAGAGCTAAGAAAAATATATTAATTAAAAAAGGGGCCTGTTTGGTTTTTTAGATTTGGACACACTTTAAAACATGTCGAGTAAAAAATTCTTGCATGTACTGTATAAAATCACCATCTTTAATGTGTCCCAATCGCCAAGAAAAAGGCGCAAATGAAAAGTCTAAAGGGACAGACTGAAACCAATACATAATAAAACTGTAAAATAGAAAGTTTATTTAATGACTTAATAGTAAAATTTAAGAATGTGAGCATAAAGTACGCACATTACTGGATACAGGTTCTCAGCATTCGTTTGTCAGTAAAAAATTAGTAGAGAATTTAAAATTTAAACCATTAGGCAAATTAAATTGAAGCATTCGTTATTCGGTGGAAGAGAAACGCAAACGCAGATCACAATGTTTATAATTTGTTGATTTCGGCATTAGATGAAACTTTCTCCTTTCAAATCGAAGCACTTTCGAGAGAAAATTTGTGGCACAGTGCCAAAAGTGAATGCTAGTGAAATTCTTAATGAACTGAAAGATAGAGGCTCAGTTTCTATGATTTGGGTTTCTTTGATCGTGAAATCGGTTGCTTTGGGAGGGATATTGTGGGCGCTTTAATACTAATAAATCAGATTTCGTGCAAAATTAATGGAAGATCTCCGTGTACATTTTCGAAAGGAATATTTAGAACTACTTGTTCAGAAACGACAGCAAAATTCCCAATTTCCAAATATTCGAGTGAATGACGTTGTGTTGATAGGAGATGATATCAAAAAGAGATTGAATTGGCCTTTAGGCCAGGGTTACGGAACTGATTCCAGGAAAAGACGGTAAAGTGAGAACAGTGTAGAGTTAAGAACGCAAACTAACAATTTTGTACGTCCGATACAACGAGTGTTTCCTCTAGAAATCCAAGATGATGATTTGTCGGGTTCATGTCATTCCAAGTGATCCTCAAAAAAATCAATCTGCTGTAAAGTCTTCAGTTTCTCATCGTGGAGACGACTTGCGTAACCTCTCATCATTCAGAAATTTCTGGGTCACCCCGATCTCGGACTCAACTGATGTTTCCGATGTATGTGATAGTTCTAAGACTACAAAGACAGGATCTGAAGAACTGCTAAGATGCCACTAAGACTGAACTTGATAGACTTGAATGTTTTGAGTAGCTATCCAGCAACTCAAAAAGGGGAGGATGTTGGGAATGGCATCACTATGCCAGCGAATAAAAAGCCAGATAGAGACTGACGTCATGGGACGCCAGAGGAAAACGAACAGTTCCGGTTTAGTTAGTTAAGCACGATGTTTGCATGATGTGACTAGATAGATATTGTAGCTAGATAAATATTTTATATTCTTTTAACTTGTCTTTAGGTGTAAATAAATCTTTTTGCTTAAGTTTAAAGAAAGTGCTCCATTTATGACAAGATAGCTGTTAATTCATCGGGTAGATGACTTACGAATCCCTTCTGAGCTAGCCATTGTTCGAACGTAATGCCTTACATAACATATCACTCAATATGGGAAAACTTCGTGTGGAGTTCGTTAAATTTCTTGGGCAGTTTTCTTATTGTGTTAGAGCAAAACCGTGTTATAAGATGTCATGTTATAAGAGGGTTCTTACAATTTATGATTCGTGTTTTAATGAAACTGTAGTGGAACATAATTTAATGTTTTTATATAATTATTAAGATTTCCTAATTGGCAACATGATGTAATGTTTTTGCATAACTAAGATTTACCGTGTGGCAACAACGAGTCCAGTTAGAAACATTTTTACTTGGAGTGTTCCATGATAAGCATTGCATAAGCTTTATTTCTTAAAAGTTTATTATATTTTATGTAAAAAAATAAGTAATATGTTGCAAACAAGAATGGAAATTGTAAAAATAAATATGCTGTTTCTTTTAAGACCAAAACAAGCATTTATTTAAATTATGAAATGCTCTGGCTGATCAGTTTCAATTTTGCTTATACATCAAACCGTGTTACAGGATGCCATGTTGAAGGAGGGCCACTTGTATTTCTAATTAGACAACTCATGATTTAAATGCATTTTTTTTAAATGAATCAGATTAAAAAATTGGCAAAATACCTTTAAGAACTGCATTTATTGCTTTTCAGTTACTTCTTTTGCTACTCAACAGAAAAATTAAATCTGAAATTTATATATCTTAGGTTTTATTGAATGGAACACTCTGGTTCATGGAGATAAGTATTCTATTGAGGCAACACAGTGTTTTCAAACTGTCAAATTTGTGGATAGAAACTGAAAGGTAAATATCTTGCATTTTGTCGAATGGGAAAAGTCTTGCACACTGGAGATAAAAATGTTTTTTCGAACACTACAGCGACTTCTCGCTTTCAAATCGCAGAGTTTGTTAAACAAAAATTTGTTAAATTTTTACACAATAAGAAAAATCAAAAACAAATTTGAAATTCAAAATTCGGTTTTTTACGTGCCATTGTTTTCGTACAATAAGAGTAACTTGTATACATAAATACAGATGCTTCATTATTTAATCTTTTTAAAATAATACATTGTAATATTTTGTGGCTACAATATGAAAAGTGATTCTAACACAAAAGTAAATATGGCAAAACATTAGTTTCGAGACTAATAGCACTTGTGGTGCTAACAATGTTCAGTCCTACTTTTAAAAGATGAACACGTTCACACAAAATGGCATTTGCTGTCATTGTAACAAAAGCTGTATTTAGCACATTAATTGTCATGGCCCATCAATATTTTTAAAAAGTGCAACTGTTGAAGTTTTAATGTTTTTACCCTGATCAATAATATTTTACGACAGCCTTGAAATCGCATTAATGCTCAATATTTTTGTTACTCAATTATTTTATGTCAAATTATGTCGAGAAAATGAACTTCAAGATACTTTATTTGGAGATTAATAAATATACTGACATTTAAGAAATTATCTTTAATTAAAAAGAGATTTCAAACTTTGTTCTAATTAAAAATACTTTTCTTCTTACTTTTGATAACTTTTGAAGATTCACCCTACCTCCAGAAATAAAAGTTCAGAGTAACAGGAAAAACAGCAGGACACGCCATATCAAAAACTTTTTATCATAAAAAGCATGAGACATTAAGGATGGATTAGTATAAAGTAGACAACCACATCTATTTTTGTGCTATGAAGACTATGTATGTGGAGGGTGGGGAATTTTAAAAGCGCCTTAGCATCTAACTGTAACAGCATTATACAGCACATAATAAGTGTCCTTACTAGATACCCCTTAGTATCTGAACATCAGAAATAAGTAGTAAAGTGCAGTCAATTTTACAAACCTTAAAGGCAAATCTAAAAGTTAAGTGACAGTCTCCAGAAAAATGTTTCATCTTGTTGATACATTTGATTGTGACATTTGTAAAGATTATATTAAGGTTGCCAGATGCTGCATCTTTATATTAAAATTGCCAAATGATGTATTTTTCCCATCTATTGTTATAATCATTTTGGAAAATTCAAACATGTACACTTTTTGTCTAGTTCCTATGGCAAATTTTTTCCTTAGCTAAAATTCATTAATTTGCTTGTTTAAAGAAAGTTTTAGAAATAAAATTTAATAATTTACATTGATGACAAAAGCTCCCTTCACTAAACGCAAACCATGTAAATCTTAGAATATAGTCCTATAACCCAGCTAAAGTACTATTTCACTCCCTCACTAAATGGCACTACAGGCTTCATGAGTGAGATTATTTTAACTTATGGTCGCCGACATACTTGCTTAAGTTAGTTACGTTTTTCCTTTGTTCCAACACAAATATGTAGGAAATGTTAAGTTAGGTCAAATGGCCAATTTTTTCTGGCCATTCTTGTGTTACGAATTTCATACATAAAAAGATAATTTTAGTGAAATTGTTATACTCAAACTTCTTCTGTACTGACGAGAAATCGCCAAAAGTCAGTAAACCTGGAGACATTTTGGTCCAGTCCCCGTATCATTGTAATAAGAATAGCAATTGAATAACTAATTGATTTTAGCTGCTCTGTAACCTTCCAGTACTTCTGAGAAGCAGAAATATCTTGGCAGCTGGGTAAAAACTACAGAATATCTATAATTAAACAGCCCTTTTTCAAAGATGCCTACAAACAAAACCAGTGATCAGAAAATTATGAAATTTTGTGGCATACTTAACAAAGGGATGGGTATTTCCTTCAGGGAGAAAATAAATGTTAAACAACACCAGAAGGCAATATATTAATAAATTACACATTTAGCCACACCTTTAATATAGTTTTATAATTTTACAAATTTTTCTACAAAAAGCATGCTCCACATGATGGCCACCATTTTCAGCTACCACCTGAAATTGAAAGATGGCATTTTCCACAACTGACAAGTGTATGCTGGGAAATGATCAGCATGTGGCTTAAAATGCTGGCTTTAAGATCAAGTAAAGTTCTTAGATTGTCACGACTTACCAGATGTTTCAAATGTCCTCAAAGACAAAAATCCCATGGATTAAAGTCTGGGGATCAGAGAGGCCACACATTATGGAAATGCTGGCTAATGACACATAGTTCTGTAAAATGACGTTTAAGAGAACATTCATAACATACCATGCAAAGTGTGAAAGAACTTCATGTTGCATGAAGATGGTGTGTGTGTGCAAGACACTGACATGCTTGCAAGGGACAGACACTTTCATTCTCTAACGGCAATGCATATCACTGACTGATGATGAAGCATGCCACTGGACCTGTGAAACTTAGCTCCTCAAAGAAATATGGGCCGAGAATAAATGACCTAGAAAATTCACACCATATAGTCATTTTTGACGACTGCAATGGAGCCTCAAATACAGGATATGCATTTTCCAATTCCCAAGTTTGGCAGCTGTGAGTAATCACTGTACCGTGCAAATGAAAATGTGCTTTGTCTATCCAGAGGTTATTCCAAGGCCATTTTGAATACAATTAAATATCCCATGTTGTATGCTTTGGAACCCCATATTTTCGGTTAGTATTTCAGGAAAAAATATCCGAAAACTAAATATATTGAAAGATTAATTCTTTAGTACTAGGATATTCTACTTCTCTGATCAATATTACTTTCTGAACCTTATTATCTTGACAACACATGCTATTAAAAACGCTGAAAATATACAAATTAATTTGATAGAGAAATTTACAGTCATTAGTTCCCAATACATGTACTAAATACTACAGCTGATCATTCATATAAAAACATTTCATTCAATAACATGGCAACTAACTCCTTTTAAGATCCAATTCTGAGAAAAATTCTACAAGTATTTTAATATAAAATAGTTTTAGAAACAAATGAAAACTATAATATGCAATTATAATAATGCAAATTTTGATAATGCAACTATTACAAATTAAAATTCAGAAAAGAAATATTTATTCAAACACTTACTGCAGCATACGAAAAAATGCACTAGGTGATGAATTTTTAACTTTAATTTGCAGACAACTAACAGAAGATCCATAAAACCTCTTAGCAAATACTTGACTTGCCATAGCTAAAATTAACTTATGTGCATAGAATTTGATACTTTCTGACCCACATTCAATTATAAATTCAACATCACTGAATTTACTAGTATTTAATAAACTTGCAGTTCGATGAAGTACACCACTTGATTCATCTGTTGAACCTTCCTGGAAAATGAAAAAAGATTCAACAGGAGTAGCAATTAAAAAAATTTCAGATGAGCATAAAATGTACTTTACAAAGAAAATAAATTAATTTAAATATTCTGAAATACAATTAATACACTAAAAACAGTATATAAAGATGAAAAACTGGATAAACAAAAATTTATCATAGGTACTTTTATCACAGGCCTTTATAAAAAAAAAAAAAAAAATTGGAACTATGTTTTAGAAGATTTATCCCACTTAAATTTGGCAGTTATACACTATCTTTGAAAAAGTATCTCAACACCCAGTGGTACAGATTTGGAGAGTCCTGACGCATTATATTAATATGATGTTGGTTGCCCTGTTGCATCGATGACAGCCTGCCTACATCTGGTGGCCATAGGAATTGACTTCCAGGCGGTCATCACAGCTGAAGTGAGTGCTGGCTGTAAGAATGGTTGAATTGGCTGGGTATGTAATCTGCATTCTAATCCCCTACAAAGGTGTTTTATGGTATTTGGATCAGGGTTCTGAGGTCAGTCAAGTTTGTTAATACCCTTTTCATCAAACCATGGCTCAATGTGCGAATGGATTGGTTATCCTGCTGAAAGAGAAATAGGCCTGCCATAGAGCTTGGAGAGCAACATTGTCCAGACTGTGCACATGCATCTCAGAGTTTAATATTTCCAACCAAAGGAATTAAAGGACCCAGGCCAAATCATGAAAAACATCCCCACACCATGATGCTGCCACCACCAAACTTTACAATCGGCACAATGCAGTCATTTAAGAAGCACTTGGCAGGCATTCACTACCCAGAGGCGTTCATCAGACTGCCAGGTTATAAAATGAGATTCATCACTCTAAAAAACATTTTTCCACAGTCCAATGATGATGAGCTTTGCACCACTGCAATTAACACTTCACATTCTGAAGAACAATGTTAGGCTTGCAAGCGGCTGCACGACCATGATGTTGGTATGTGTTTATGGCAAAGCCTCCAGGGCTATCTGCCTAAAAGGAGGGATGCCTTCATGGAAGACTTTCCAAGGAAGACTGGCTCATATACACATTAAACATAGGAAAAACCACGAAAATCTAAAAATCGCATCTGAAATCAAAACTAAGTATTTATAAAAATTGCAAAAATTAGTAACTGGCAGATATGTAAAATTAGGCAAAGCAATAACCTTCTGTTTAACGTACATTGGTAAAATACACACCAAACAGGTTATTGCTCTGCCATAATTTTATGTTTTACTTTAATTTCTCTTCTCTCTTAGCAGATATGTATTAAGAGCACTCTATTTTTTCTAGGTCACTATATATACAGTTAAGCTGTATTTGTGGATATGGAGTAGAAAAATAATACAGTCAAAAGTCGTTAATCCGGACTCGTCGGGACTTCCGCGATTCCGGATTATCGATTTTTCCGGATTATAGATCATCAGTTTAAATCTCGTAAGATGGCATGCAGAAATTCTAAAATTAAAAATATGAAACCGTAATTTATGAAATAAAGAAACAATTATGATCTAAAGGGTATCAAAATTTACAAAAAAAAAAAAAAAAAAAAACTTAATATTATTTGTTTACTTTATTAAACATTTCTTTCAATGTAAGTTGTTTAAGTTGCTTCGTTTTATGTGATAATACTTTCTCTTTAATTCTATAAAAAGACATAATTTCTTCTTCAGTTACAAAGTTCCGCTGTTCAAGTCTCGTTAATTGCTGTGCCGAGAATACCGACTAACTTGTCAATCGAAATTTTTTCGTTTTCACTAACCTCTCTGTCACATTCTTCATGTCTTTATCCATTTTTTGCAGCAATTCCACTTTTTGTTTGATGGACATCGAAACATACTTTCGTTTTGTAGATCCTTTGGAAGTTCCAGCATCGGAAATTCTATTTGACATAATCGAAAGTTCAAGTTTACTTTTATAAAATTGCTCTTACAGTCTGCAAAAAATAATAAACCGGATCCAATTCGAAGATTAAGAAACAACGCATCATCAACATTAACTGAAATAGATAATTAGATAATTTTTAGCTTACACCGTCCGTTATACATTAAACGCGCAGGCGAAAACGTATTCTGCACGTGCGCCACACGCATATGCGCAGTAGTCAAGGTCTTACGCGCACGCGTAAAACGCCTGTGCCCATGTGCCAACGCGGCGCATGCGCAGAAAGTTCTTAGCTTTGAGGTCCGGATTATAGATCATTCCGGATTATGGGTGTCCGAATTAACGACTTTTGACTGTATTTACATCAAATAAAACTAAAAATAAATCTTAAAGTTCTATTTTTATATAATATCTGGCATTATCACAAAGCTAAACCATAGAAGGCCGAGGCCTTTGATAACCTGTTTGCTTAAATACCGAAAAGCCTGAAATTCCATTTGAAATTTACAATAACTGCCCCCTCACTGTCCCTTAACACTTTCATTACGGCAATGGAGTGTCTTCGTCCCACTCTCTGTGTTAAGACTCTGCGCTGCTCTCTGTAGCACTAAAATTGAACCAAAAATACAACCGCGTACCTGTTGGTTTCTGATACAAATATTTCGATAATTTCTTTAGTGACAAAGAAACAAAAAAATTCTATTGGTCGCGAGGAGGCCAAGAGGTCTGCACAATCAGAATGCATTATACCACTACTGTCCAGAAAAATTATATCATTAGGTGGTGTGTAATTTGTACCAACTTTACACCATTCATAACATAATGAAGTTACTTGGAGATTTATCAGTTTCACTAGTTTTCAAAACATTATCTATTATTCTATCAACACCAATATTCAAGCTTGTGCACCCTGAAGTGAATCCATATTTGCTGCACTTACTTCAGCATCCAATTAGGCATCTGTATTTTTAATTTTGGCGCTTGAATCGTAAACACGATCACCAAGTTTACAGCTGCTTTCCCTATCTGAGTCGATATCGTCAACAAGCTCTTCTTCGGATAAATCAAGAATCTGTAGTGCCTCATCAATTCACATTTTGAAAATAAAGTAAGCATCTTCTACGGGTTTACTGTATTTTCAAAATATGAATAGGTATGGCATTACATATTTTCAAAATGTTTTCTTATCGTAGCAAAATATGGTTAACTTTCAATTTATTAAAATAATACATATCAGTTTTTTTTTTTTTTTTTTATCAAGTTAGGGTCTAGAAAGCAAATTTGGCAGACTTTTGCATCGCATAACTATGCTGGTGTACTGATTTCCAACCTTTTTTCACTTGATGCTTTCAGACATGTTTTCTGATTTGTCCTGACAGTTCAACATGACAATTGCTCAGCAGTTCAGACATGGAAATAGCAGAAAAAGTTGAGACTTTCACAGTTCTGATAAAAGCTGAAGAACCATCCCTGACCATGTTTGACTGTGACTGCATCCTCTTTAAGAAGAACTCTGCGTCAGGGAGAAGGGAAACATGTCACACCACAAACCCACAAAAGATACCTTCCCAGTGTGTACAAATGTGAATACCAACTTCAAAATAAGGCTGCAGCTCATATACTATTCAGAAAACCTCAAAGCATATAAAGCCTGCAAGGACAGTCCCAATGGTGTGAGTCGCCAAGCAGTTCTTTGCAGAGTTATTCATTATGGTCTTATGTCCTGCTGTTAAAAAGTATCTGGAGGAAAATAACTTATGCCTAGAAGCCCTTATGATACCTAACAATGATCCTGCACACCCACCAAACCTCAAAGAGTTCATGAATTTTCTATACCTTATAAGACCACCCATATACTACAGCTTATAAACTGGTAGGCAATTAAAAAAAAATTTTCAACAAACACCCATATCACCACTGCTTTGATGTTATGCTAAGCCCCAGAGTATCACCATTCACGAGGTTCAGAAGGGCCATTACAATAGACCTATGAATTATCAATATGGTATAGCACGGTCTTTCAAGAAAGATCTTAAAACTTTACGTGGAAGACATTATAGTCTCAGGCTGTACGTAAAATGGATTTTGAAGGATTCAAACCCAAAATCGTAAGGTAAGCACTGGAAGACACTTTGTCCCTTAGAAAGGTCATATGTCTGGAAGATATAAATAAACTTGTTGAGAAATCACTTGGAGGATCTTATGACTGAGGAGCTAAATGAATTACAAATGAAGGAGCATGAAAAGGTTTGAGAATACAAAAAGAGGAGTTAGGAATACAAGAGCCATTCTCTTTAGTTGAAATTTAGGGCATTCTGAGAAAACAGCTCTTTGGGTAGAAAACACCCAGAAAAATTTTAACATGTCACAGAATAGTGTTGTTCAATGGAACTTGTTTAATAACACAATTCAGAAACTTTAAATAAAGGATGAAACAACTTTCCTTGGACAAGTTTCTATTGAAATTTTCTTAAAGTAAGAAAATCATAAAAGGTGGCAAAAATAAAAAAAAGAATAATGAAGGGATGACATATGCAAGTAGAGAACAGTAATTAAATTTTATGAAAGCAGTTCATTTTTGTATATTCTTTATGTGTTTTGTTTTATAAAGTTTATAAAGTCCAACACATTTTTTTCTGTTTCAAAACACTTAAAAAAAATAACCTGAGGTGGTCATGTTAGGGCACGAAATGGATTAATGGTATTTAATTTTTTTTCCAATGTAAAAATTGTTTCAGAAGACTGTCTTATGAGCCCAGTCGAGGAACAAATTAAACTGGCATGCTGAGATACTACTGTACATGGGGTACATAATATAATGGTAATTCTGGCTTAGCTATGCAATTTTCAGAAGCTCAGACTGACACTTAAGAGTGTCTCAAACACAATTTTTTTTTGGGGGGGATAGATTTTTATGAGTTCCAGGACACTCTAGTAACTTTTAAACAATAAATATTTTTCTTACAATGAGACTACAAGTTTCTGATAGTCTAGGAATAAATTTCTCAAATGTACAAATTTAGAAACATCTTCTGTTTATACCTACATAATTCATAATTAGGTACTTTTTTAATGATCTGAAAAGAATCGAAAATTATACTTCCATACCTGAAATTGAAACAAATTTGTAAAACAATATAAAACTAACTTTTATTCAAAAAAACAGACAACTAATCTCATAAAATTTTAAAACTCGCATTTAAAATTAAATTTATATGCATTTCTGTAATAACTCCTGCACTTTAATACCATCTCTCTTTAACTTAAGCCATACATTTTAAATTAAAAACCACAGGTTCAGTTTCTTATTATTCTTAATAAATATGAAAATTCTTTCCATATAAATAAGTTTAGGTACAGAGATATAGAATATATGCTAACACCAATTACTTAGCTAACAAGCATTTAAAACATGCTAATTCTAAATTCAAATATTTTTCACTCATGAATTTCAAGATTAGCAGCAGAGAGAGGTATTTCTTATGGTTATATAGAAATGGAAATAACTTATTGGAAACAAAGGCATTATGATTATGAATTGGAAACGAAGGCATTATGATTATGAATAATTAATCATAATACATGAGTGAATCAGAATGTATTTAAGAGCAAGTAAAGATTATACCATATTTGTTTATATTTGTAAAGAGTAAGAGAACAAGAAAGTCTTCTTTCCATTTGTATATGTTGTAATGTTTTCCTTCCTTGTGCTATTATTTTATTACTTTACATGTTTAGCAAAGGACCAGTGGGTCCCTTTGATGTGGTTAATCAGATTTTCAATCAAGTGCAGTTAATGTTTATGCTCTCAGCCTTATAGCTGTATATGCTGATCAATTGTTTCGGCACAGGGCTTAAAATTATCTTCCCACAATGTTTTTCATTGAACAGGGCGGAAGTTCAAAATATAGATATATTTGGAGATGTTATGTGAATATATGAAATATTATAAGGTCAAAGATAATTTAAATTTTTATGCAACATTCAGTCACAGGCATGTTTAAGGACTTTTCTGATATTAAAATAGGTTTATATTTGATAAATAAGAAACTTTTCCCAGAACCTCTTTTTTATGTGTTTGTATGATCAATTCGTAAAAAAAATGTCTTGAACCCAGGATCATAGTGTCCTCCATCTCCAATGATTGCCATGCACTTAGAGAATGTACAAGTAAAAAAAAGACTTGTATCTTTTTTTTAGTACAGAGGCTCTTAAATCTTAATTATTTAATGTAGTTTATTAAGAGAGATTAACAATCTCCCTTAATAAATTATACTATATATTTCTATACTAAAATATTAATATCATGTAATTAACCATACTTCCAAACATTGGAAAACTGTATTTTGAAATTAAAAGTATATCAGTAATTTATTATAAAGATTAGCTGTATATATGTTTTAAAACAGATACCTTCTTAGAGCCCATTCAAAAGATGAAAGCTACCAGTATATTTACTCACAGCTTTTAAATTCCCAGTATCTTTAAAAAGGGGGGGAGAAAAAATATCATTTCACGTATGCCTGCAATTATTTGCTCATGTCCTGTGAAATTTTGTATTTATTTTGTATTTCATATTTCTTATTCTGCTGTTAAGGTTTTTCCCACTTCGATACAGATTTTAAATTAAGCAATAACAATCATATCGCATATGTTCATTCGGTTCAGATATTCAGAAACGTAAAAATGCGTTAAAAACTTTAAAATTCAAAAACAAAATCTGTAAACCAAAGCGCAATAGTTATAAAATATTTAAAATAATACACCGAAAAGAAAAAAAGAATTTATTTGGTAACGTAAAACACAGTAATCATTAAAAATATTATATCACATAATTGCTTTTGTCACACACATTATATTCGAATGTAACTAAAATAATGAACAGCTTCAAATTACTTACCATTTTCATGCTATTCTAATAAACGCCGTAATTCATCATATACTTTTTTTTAACAAATTCGGGAAAACACTGAACCTGTTACTCCATATCAGAAACTAAACTACTTTATCAGTGGTTACGTCACAGTTGAAGTGACCAGTCGGAAGTGACGATTGTTCGCCAATCAGCTGGAGTGACGATAACTCGCCAATTAGCAAATTAAAGAGTTACCAATACCAAAGAATCATCATCATCATCATCATTGGTACCTCAATTTCCTGTACACGTGGCGGAGGTGGAAAATCTCGGCCAGGTACATCATAAAGGGGGAAATTCTCGCCAACAGGTTCCGTCGCCAAATCCCTTGGCGAATTGTCCCTCTTTTTTCTAGCGGCGTGGATGACAAACTGGTTTACATGACGTCTATGGAGCCTTTCCTTCTTTACATAGACTTTCTTTGCCAATACTTTGTGCCGCTAAGGGGTTCTGTTTTGACAAAATAATAAAAGATATCTAACCATGAACCTTTAATATGAAAAAATACACCAATACTCTACAATCTGATTATCAATATCCTCGTTTATGCTGTTCCACGTAACATTACTTCACCTCAAAGCTTTGGTTGACATACATTACTTGTTGATTGAGGTCAGTTCTTTGGTATTGGTGAACGAACGTGATAGGTGTATGTAGTATGTGGACTTTTTGTCCTCGAACTTGGAATTAATGCAGCTATTAACAGCTCTTTACCAGCTCCACTTGCTAGCAGCTCTTTTTTTTTTTTTTTAAATAATTTTCTCGCCAGAAAGTAAATTTTTAGGCCAAAATGAGCGAGCCCTCTTTTTATTGATGAAATGCTTTCTTTTCATTTCCCCCCTGAACTTTATCTGTTGTATTTTTTTTTCTCTCTTGAAGAGAAATTAATATTTACAATCATATTTTTATGATAACATTTCTTCACTCTTTTAATATGTATTGGAGCTATGGACTAGTTGTAATGATTTGGGGGAAAACGTTTATGTTATACAATACATTTATGATTTCTTGATTATAACTGCTGTTTGGGTAGCATATATGTCTCTTCATCATATTCGCAAAACAAGCATTTCGTAATTTTGTTAATTTTAGTTAAAAAAATATTTTATCAAACCTATTTGTCTGTTAAAATTTGCCCCAGACTTAAAGCAAATATACACCCACCAGCGACAGAGCAGCAAAATCTCTCAGCACTGGTAGTTCTGGCATGGGTTTGATTCCAAGCGAATGGGCTGCTGCATGGTCATTTCCCCATGTGTAATGTGTATACAAACCAGTTTCCCTTAGAAAGACCTCCACTAAAGCATCCCTTCTCTTAAGCAGATAATCCTAGCAGGCTTTGCCATAGTAAACTAAACCAAAAAAACCAATCTTAAGGCAAATTGTAACAGACCTGAAACAAAAAGTGACAATAAAAACGACTAACGATTATCTTTAAAACACATTTAGTGATTATTATTACTTGATAAAATGACCCTGAATGATAACAAGTGGTGTATGGTTAGACAGATAAAATTATATAACCAATCAACACGACAGTCAGTCTTTATCAAAATTTTCGCTAACCCAAATAAATGATAGCTGATTTCCTTTCACACATTTAATGCTTGCCTACATTTTGCATTTTAAGTTTTACACCCATTCTTTTTAATCATTGTTTTTGTAAGTATCTTCTCAAGCAAAACCACTTTTTTGTTTCAGAATCTCCATTTGAGTTCAAAAACCTCTTGCTGAGTTATTCTATCTCTACTTTTTCTTTTTGGACATTTTTTTCCCTTTAATCCTTCCCTTTTCGTCCTCTTCCTCTTCGCTTTTTGTGTGTTATTAAATATCTCTTCTATCTATATTCTTTCCCCAGTGCTTCTGTTTTGGGTGTGTAGTAAGATAGCATATTTCCTTCTGCGTCGCTTCTGTTATACTGCTTTCGAGGTGAAATCTCAGGCAGAAGTATAATCTTTGAGGCTGACAAATTTATTTTTTATATTTTGGGAAAAAAAACTAAATAGAATTTGTTCTTTAAATTTTCACGTTAAAATTTAAAGAACAAAGTCTACATGAATCTAAATCTCGGGACAAGTAGTTACAAGTTACAGGTTTCGGATAATTTCGTTGATTTATATATATATAAAAAAAAAAAAAAAAGGCGGTTAATAAAAAAAAAATAAAGCAACGTTTTAAAACCTTAGTACACAGAAAGTAAAGTCATTTTAAAAAAGACAATTAACTTAACTTCAAATGAAAATTTACAAAAAAAAAAAAAAAAAAAAAAAAAAAAGTGGGAAATTCATTGGGCTAAGGTAATAGGTCTTGTCATAAAGGTTAGTAAAAATTTTGATAAAAATATTTTAAAAATCACTGCATAACGTGCGTGTTACCATTTAGCCCTACTACAACTAGCCCTTAGCTCTCCTATACTTTCATACACTTGCCTACTTCTTCACTCTTTTAATTATGTATCGTCTTTATGTAGCTCTATCAAGAATAAATTTATTTTCGTATGATTTCAATACTTTGAATGATCGAAATTTCACATGTGGGGTACAAGCGGCGCCAACGATAATGCATGATATGTCTTAGCCCACAATTATAAGTTCGTTCTTTTTGTTTTGGTTATTATATGCATTTTTTTTATTATTATTATTATTTCATCCATGGTGTTTATGTCTACAGTCGGAAATTTATCCTCGATTTTTATTCTACTTCCTAACAGCTATTAAGTTCAATTCTGAATAACATCGTTTGTGGATGAAAATGCAATGCGATAAAGTATTTTTTTTTTTCTTTCAAAATTTGATTTACATTTCTCTATTCCAATGTTTAAACGACTTTTCGGGCATAAGTAACAAACAAACAAACAAAAAAATAAATAAATAAATAAATAAATATAAAAAATATGAAATCTTTCACATTTTACATTACGACCAAAGGGACATTTTTTAAACCTTTTGTGTGTTATCTTTATTTAATAAATGTTCTTTGCACTTAAAACATAAAATTCAACTTAACAGCAATATCGCAAAACAATTTTAAAATGAGCATATCTTTAGAATTTCCGGATATACAATTCCGCGCGCTGGAGATAAAAAGGTTTTTTTTTTTTTTTTTTTTTTTTTCCCCATAGAGTGTTGCCATTGCTCGCTTTCAAATCGTTGAGTTTGCTACTCAAAAATTCGTTAAAGTTTTACAAAATATGAAATCGATAATAAAAGGAATTCCAAATTTCAAATCTGGGCTTCCACATGGCCATATTCGCAGTAGGATTACGTCACTCAAAATTGGATGGCTTTAGGGACTGTTGTTTTACCACAATGCGAGAAATATACATACATTTATGCAGATTTTTTCATTATTTAATTTCTTCAAATATAATGCAGGACTCTGAAATTTGGTGGCAACAGTTTCAAAAGTGAAACGGACATTTATATTGATTCGACGCAAAATCGCAAAAACGGAAACAATAGTTTTTCAGAGCAGGGTTTAATTTCTAAAATTAGAAGTGGCGGAGCCGTATGGGAGAGTGTGAGGAAGAAAAGAAAAAGAAATAAGTAAAATAGCTAAAAATTAAAATAATTAAATAATAAATTTTAATTAATATTAATTAATTAATAATGTTTTAATTAATCAATTAATTAATTTAGTATTAATTAATTAAGAATATTTAAAGAGATAAAGAGAAATCTAATAAACTACTAAATTAATTTTAAATAGTTAGTAGAAAAAACGTATCGGACCTTGTCTTATTTCGGGCATCGGTTGGAATTTCAGTTCCACTTAGATGCTAAAAAGCAGCTCAGCTGATAGCCGTCTGCGTTTTAGCCCTAATTATACGCATAATATAAAGGGATGACAGGTACCACTCTCTTCTTGCAGCACACCAAGGAAAAAAAGATAAAACTATTAAAGCTCCACTAAGGAGAATAGTTGAGAATTCTAGAAACAATATGAGGATATGGAAAGAAATTTAACGGAAGAGTGTAGCTTTGAAAATAAAGAGAGAAGATTTCAAGACTTTCTGATCGCGATGCCCTGCCGATATAATTCTAGCCGTCAAGCAGAAATTTTCCCTGAATACCTTTCCTGGATAAATTTTCCTGAATACAGCGTGAGAACAAACATAAGACTTCTCTGTACAAGTAATAACAGTAGTCCTCCCGTTTGGTTACATCATTCAGAAAGTCTATAGGAACTCTGCAGTAAGAAGTCACTATCGTGAAACGTGCACGACTAGGGTATCACTTTTAGTTCTTTGAAGAATACAAAATTTATCCGCTCTCATAAATTCATTGCATATCCTGGAGAATAAGCCTTTGACATATGATTTGGGAACTTTTCTTTCCTTAAAAGTCTCAACCTCAGTGCAAGAGAAAGACAGGCCTGCATTCAGAAGTTAGAAATGATTTCTAAGGCATGTTTACTATTAAAACAAAAATTATGTGCTAAAATGGTAGTTCCCTTACATAAAATAAGTGCCGGAGCCTTTTTGTTTAGGGCTCCGGTAGAAATTATAATTTATCTCGAAAACTGAAAAGTACCGGAACCGGGCTCCGGTGGGCGAAATTTAAGCTCTGCTTCAGGGACAAACCCCTTTGGACCAAAAAAAAAAAAAAAAAACGAAAAAAATTCCGAAATTTTCCAGATTTTACATCACGCCCAAAGGGTTTGTTTTTTTTTTAACGTTTTGTGTGTTACCTTTGATTATTAAGTATCATGTTCTTGGCACCTAACCCATAAAACTCACTAAGCATATCTTTAGAATTTCCCATACACAGTCTCGCGCGCTGGAGATAATTTTTAGTCCAAAGGGATTTGAATCCCGAAGGACTATTAGTTTCGTTTTGGCATTTTGCGTCGGACGGATAAATGTCGGTTCACTTTTCAAACTGTTGCCATAAAATGTTAGAGTCCTGCATTATATTTGAAGAAATTAAATAATGCAAATCTGCGTAAATGTATGTATATTTCTCACATTGTCATAAAATAACGGTACATAGAGTCATCGAATTTTGAATAACGTAATCCTCCAACGAATATGAGCATGTGGAAGACCAAATTTGAAATTTGAAATTTGTTTTATGATCGATTTTCCTATTTTTTAAAACTTTGACGAATTTTTGATTAACAAACTCAAGGATTTCAAAGCGAGCAATGGCAACGTTGTGCAGAAAAAACATTTTTATCTCCAGCGCGTGAGTCTCTGTATCGGAAATTCTAAAGATATGCTCGTTTTAAAACTATTTTGCGATATTGCTGTTGCACTGGATCTTATGGTTTAAGTGCGAGGAACATGATATTTAATAAAGAAAGGTAACACACAAAATGTTAAAAAACGCCCCTTTGGACGTAATTTAAAATCTGAAACATTTCAGATTTTTTTTTTTTTTTTTAACGTTTTGTGTGTTACCTTTGATTATTAAATATCATGCTCTTCGCACCTAACCCATAAAACTCACTACGCATATCTTTAGAATTTCTCATACACAATCTCGCGCGCTGGAGATAATTTCCCCCCCCCGTACAGTTTTGCCAT